TTTTAAAAACAACATGCATATGGGCATAATCCAAACCTCTAATAGGTACTCATGTCAATGTTGGTTGAATCTGAACCTGTTTCTTCTCTCACAAAGCAGGGCTCTTAATTTCTGACCAGGACACCATCCTCTGGCAGTGTCATTAACCTTCCTTTTGAATTTGGCAGCTTTGTGGAAAACAAAAGGGGAAGAGGAAAGCTGCGATCATTTTACATAAACATTTGGGTTTGCGTCCACAGTATTATGAAAACTAAGGGTAGAGGGTTGGATGACACCACCAGAGAGTAAGGAAGGAGGAGGGGGAAAGGCTGGACCAGCACCCGGGAGCACTGGCATTTCAAGGACGGGCGGGGTAAGAGGTCTGGGTCTGGGGAACTGAGAGGGAGCGATCAGAAGGAGAGTGGATGACCATGGTGCTCATTCAGTGTAGCTCTTCTTATAACAATGCACCGGAAGGGATCAGGCTCAGCTGCGACTGTCATCATCTCTTGCCAAATCAATTCATTAATGACGCGGATAGACCCTGGTTCTTTTCACTTGTGCTTAAGTGACACTGTGTCAGTTCCGACAGACGGCTGCCTACTCTGCCCACCCACCCACTCGCCCATCCTCGGCAATAGAGGAAAGCATACAGGGAAGAGAGTCGGTTGGGATGAGCCAGGAGTAGCTTTACAACAGTTGGCCCAGTTACCTAATCCTAACCAAAGGAGGGAATGTGTAGCTCCTTCACATACTATCGTTTTGTTAAAAGCTTCAAAATTTTACTGGCTTGATGTTAATCACCCTTAATAGCAAGTCAACATTTTGCATCCAACTCATCTTGAAGACTAGTCTAGGAAATTTCCTTGTTCTAGAATAAAAAAAAAATCAATGGATACTTTCCTTGGATGGCTTTGTGGTCAGTGATTATACTTGCCGTGTGTTATTTTTAGGAAAATTCCAGAAGCCCATATACCCTCCCTGTCTTCCTGAGCATGAGCTTTAATCAGGTTTTCAGGCGGGCTAAGAACCTCTACCCTGGAGCATATTCCCTGATCAAGCCCAAGTTGAGAACCTGGGGTGTGCCATTTTTCTCTGTCACCCAGGAAACTCATGGCTGCGTATGTTCAAAGGACGTTACTAAAAATGATACTAGTTTCATTGCAGTTTTTTCTTATGAAAATTCATACCAGGCATTTCTCTATGGTTTATAACCAGGAATGGATGTGACTAGACTGTTTTAAATGAAGAGCAGTTCAGTGTTAAATTCTTTGTTGGTTGTTGGAAAGTTTAGGGCCAAACTCTCAACCCACCTCCTGCACAAGTACTTAGTACTTCATAACATTTATCTATGTCCCTCGATATTGCGATTTGGGGAACTAGTAAATAACAGCCATGTCTCCCTGCCTGGGTTTTAAACTCTTAAATTCATTGAGAAATAGACGCTGGAGACAGACAGGTGGAGATGAAAATGTCAGCTTCTTTACCAAATCACTTGAATGGGTATATTACATGAATGCAGCCTAGATGTGCAGAGAAGTGGGCTGGTCATATTCCATCCTGGCTTAGACAGACTTGCCCACCAAGTCCCAGGCACGGCTGGAAGCCCTCACCTCCTCTGCAGGAAGGTGTGAAGTCTATGCAGACAGACATACTCTCTCCAGAAGGAATGGCATCTCAACTCCTTCCCCCAAATGCACAATCAGAGAAACCCCTCTGGCCCTGGTTCCTGAGAGAGAGACTGGGGCAAGAGGCAAGAGCAGTACTCTAGGGAGATCCTTCCAGATCGGGAGGTGGAAGCCATTATCCCCAGTGCTGACCTTCCTAGCCTCACACTCCCTTTGCCCAGTTTCCTTAATTGTTTCACTAATTGCAGCATATATATTTTTGTAAAGTTCTTTATATATTCTATATATTCTCTCTCTCTCTATATATATATATTCTATATATATTCTTTTTAGACCAGGTTGGGCCAAATAAGTTGAAGAGTTTATGTTAAAATCACAGGAATCCTAATACTTTTTATGGTATGAAATAGCAAAATGCTACACAATTTAGAGTGCTTTGAGAGGAAGGGATCGTAGGAGTCTGGAAACGATGGAGTTATGTTTTTTGTGCCTTTCAGTGTTAACTGAAAACTCTTGGTGCCTTGTCTGTCTTTAGTACCGATTTTTTTAAAGTCTTTTTTTACATTTATTTATTTTTGAGAGACAGAGAGAGAGCACGAGTGGGGGTAGGGCAGAGAAAGAGGGAGACACAGAATCCAAAGCAGGACCCAGGCTGTGAGCCGTCAGCACAGAGCCCGATACGGGACTCGAACCCACAAACCATGAGATCATGACCTGAACCAGAGTCGGACGCTTAACTGACTGAGCCTCCCAGGCGCCCCTAATTCCAATTTTTTAAACTCTGTGTTTTAAAAACCCAAAGGGATACGCCTATTAATATGTCTCTCCTCAGATTAGCTATAGCCAATATCTGCAAAGAAGAGAGACATTATAAAATGTTCTATCAGAAACCCATTTTATTTTATTTTATTTTATTTTCCAACGTTTTATTTATTTTTGGGACAGAGAGAGACAGAGCATGAACGGGGGAGGGGCAGAGAGAGAGGGAGACACAGAATCGGAAACAGGCTCCAGGCTCTGAGCCATCAGCCCAGAGCCCGACGCGGGGCTCGAACTCACGGACCGCGAGATCGTGACCTGGCTGAAGTCGGACGCTTAACCGACTGCGCCACCCAGACGCCCCATAGAAACCCATTTTAGAAGAGACTATGCCAAATTCTTTAACAAAGATTCTAGAACTCATATGTCCAAATGTGCATTACACCTTTCAAAAGACTCAACTGGAAAAGCAACACCCTTATTTCAATTAGGCCATTATTGTTCCAAGAATTTCTTCATTAGAATTGCTATTGGAGGCTTCAGAAAGTATCTCAAATACTCTAAAAAATGACAGGCCCTTGTCCTGTCAGGTGAATCCAAGTTTAGCACCAGCCATTTGGAGCTATGTTCGGTGAGTAATATACCTATTCAACTTTGGTGACAAAAGTTTTAGTTTGTAAGATGATAAAAGAAAATATCCTGGCAAATTTTCATGATCTTGGGTTTGGCAGTGCTTTTTTTAGTATAACAGTACAGGTAACAAAAGAAAAAAATAGATATATTGGTCTTCATTAAATCAAAACCCTTTATTCATCAAAGATAGCTATCAACAGAGTGAAGAGAGCCTAAGATGGGGGAGAAAATATTTGCAAATCATATACCTGATATATATGCAGAATATCTGGAACATATAAAGAACTACAACTCAACAACAAAAATTTTAACAATCCAATTTCAAAATAGGCAAAGGACTTGAGTAGACATTTCTTCAAAGAAAATCTACAAATAGCCAACAAGCACATAAAAAGATGCTCCGCGTCATTAGTCATTAGTGAAATGAAAATCAAAACCACGAGATACCAATTCACACTTACTGAGATGACTATAATGTTTTTAATTAAAATAACAATTATAGAAAAGGATCTGGGGAAATTGGAGCCTTTGTACGTTGCCAGCAGGCGTGCAAAGTGGTTCAGTCACAGGGGAAGACAGCTTGGTGGTTCTTCAAAGAGTTAAACAGAGAAATACCATAGGCCTTCAATCCCACTCTTGGTATATGCCCAAAAGAACTGAAATCAGGGACACAAACAAATACTTGTACACAAACGTTCACAGCAGCCCTCTTCACAGTAGCCAAAAAGTAGAAACAGCCCAAGTGTCCATCAATGAGTAGATGGAGAAACAGATTGTGGTATATCCATACAATGGAGTACTATTCATTTATTCATATACTGACATGTATACAATATGGATGAACCTTGAAAATAGGATTCTATGTGAAAAAGGCCAGACATAAAAGGACCATGTTATTATATGGCTCCGTTTATATGAGATACCTAAAAAAGGCAAATTCATTGACAGAAAGTAGATTGGAGGTTACCTGGGGAAGGGAGTACAGAGTTTCTGTTTGGAGCAATAAGAAAATTTTGGGAATAGTGGTAATGGTTGCACAACATTATGAATGTAATTAATGCCACTGAAATGTACACTTTAAAAGGGTTAAAATTTGGGGGCACCTGTGGGGCTCAGTTGGTTGAATGTCTGACTTTGGCTCAGGTCATGATCTCATGATTTGTGAGTTTGAGCCCCACATTGGGCTCGCGGCTGTCAGCGCAAAGCCCACTTCGGATCCTCTGTCCCTCTCTCTCTCTCTCTGCCCCTCCCCTGCTCACACATTCTCTCTCTCTCTCTCAAAAATAAATAAAACAAAACAAAAAAAGCTTAAAATTTTATGATGCATATAACATTTTTTGTTAAGCATGACATGTAAATATATAACACATTGTGTTTTTAGTCATTAATATAAAACTAAGCAGATTTTAGTTATAATTTACCATATTTTAAAAAGCCCTCACAATTTATAACAGTTAACGTTGTGTTTAAGAAATCTGGCAATTCTCCCTTTATTTTTCTTAACAAATGCCCTGTTGAAATAATGAACTGCGAATAGCTTTTATATCTAGTTAAACTATCAATAATACATAGCAATATTTTAAAAGAAAAAGCAAGATGATTGGCAAGTGGCGAGAGCTTTTTCCTGTGCTTCTTCCTGAAAGGAAAGCCCTTGGTGTGTGTAACAGGAAATAAAAAAGGAAAAATGGGTCAATTTTGCTGCTCAAAGGAATGTATAATTTGTAGTTCGTTGAATTGTGGTCAAATTACATAGTTGGCATCCCATGCAAAGAATGTCAGGTAGTTTATGTTTAGTCAACTAATGTGGATATTAACACCTAGGTTAAGGTGAAATCTTTCTAAATATTGTTGGGCACCCTTTTCCCCTTCCATTCTTTGCACGCTGAGGCTCCTTCCATAGGAGCTGCCGGTATTATGTACATAATGCAGAGTACATCATTACTCCTTTTGCGCGAAAGCATTACAGGTGACTGCTCATATGCAACTCTGGTTCTCTTCCAGAGCATAGGAAACTTGGAAATATGACTGTGACCGTGAAGAAGACTGTCCCCTCCCCCGAGGCCGTGCAGATTCTCTACCAGCGAATGAGATACGAGTATGAGTTCTACCACTACGTCAAAGAGCAGTTCCACCTGCTGAAACGCAAGTTTGGACTGAAGTCCCACGTCAGCAGGCCCCCTCTGAGACCCCAGTTCTTTATTCCAACTCCACTGGAAACCGAGGAGCCGATCGATGATGAGGAACAAGATGACGAGAAGTGGCTAGAAGATATTTATAAGAGGTGATGCCAGCACTGTGTTGCCTCCACTGGCTTTATCTCCCTTTTCCAGAAAGTTTTTTGTTGGGGGAAGAAAAATCCTTAAGGGACTAAATTAATGCTCAGTTGCATTAAAAAGAACAAAACATTCCCACATGTTGGGGTCATTGGGAGATGCCCGGTTTTGCGGGTCTTTCTTAACTGTATTCTGGGTCTTCCTGGTTCCCCGGATCCTTCCCAGGTACACTAGATGGCGCCATCACAGGGCAGTTCATCATAACATAGCTTTTTTTTCCCTCTAGTATAATGAGAGGAGGGGGAGAAATACAGCCCATAGCCCAATAATTTATCATTTGTAAAATGACTTGTAAAGATATTACCTCAGTGGTAGGAAACACCCAGACTTACCCATAATTCGGTAGAAATACAAAACCACTTCAGACACCAGGGAATCTACTCTAGAAGTGTCTAAGAGGGGAAGGTAAGACTGATAAGGACCTCAAAAGGGAGGATGCCCCTGGATGAGTGGTTTCCACCCACGTGGGTAGAATTCTGCCTCTGGTCCATCTCAGGGGACACATTTGCCAACAGCAGCATACTTCTCTCTGAAATGGCAAGTCAGCTTGTGCCACACCCCCAACCAGTCCAGAGCCTTGAGTACTTTCCAAGGTCAAGGTGCAGGGCAAGCTCCATTGAGACCCTCCATTTCCAAGCACCATTCTGACAGATCTAAAAGTAGCATAGCAGGGAAAAGAATTTGTTTGCCGTGTAAGGAAAAGTGTAGGCACGAGCATCTCTGGAGGCCATGTGACATCAGAAAATTGGTTCGGTTGTGTTCTTTGTACCCACATGGCATCTCTCTCCCCAGCATCGTTTTCACTGGAGACCCGGGAGCGGGTTTAGCTCTGGCATTTGACTCCTGTGGCAGAAGTTCTAAGCCTGCCCACAGACAATGCATAGTCTAACCCCTGGCCAAGCTGGGTCCCACCATAATGGCGTCTTTCACCTTCTGGTCCCTTGAAGGGTACCTGGTTTTGGTCCAAAGGGGTACTGAGTTCTACTCAGGCAGCGGTGAAACTCCAACCCCCTTTGTTATGGAAGCAGCCCTTTCCTGAGAACCCCTATTAAGACATTAAGACAAGAAGCAAGAGCTTCTGGTAAGAGACTGCCTGACCAGCTTTATGAGCAGGCGTCTGCCCCCAGAGTGGTGCATAGCTGTGGGGCAGTTCCGTTGCTTGAAATGTCTCTTCTCCCCATTCCTCTCCTGTCATCTGCCCCCGACTCATGACCCCGTGGATCTTTGGATGCTGAAATGTTTTCATCTTTAACTGCCCCCCCCCCCCCCCCCGCTCTGGATACGCATATATTTCTGGGTGGATAACATACAGCCAGCTGAGAAGCAGGGGTGCGGGGGGTGGTGGCAGACGGGATACATGTGACAGATTTTGTCTCCTTCATGTTTTCTCCCCTAGAGCCAGCCCTTCAAGAGCACTAGCAGAGTGTGAGTTGGGAGTACTTAATAGTAAATAAGACTGACTTTACACAAGCTACACATTTTCTACTTTTCAGAAACCAACAACTCTCTCTAGAGTTTTTTCTTCGTTCACTAAAATTGGACAGTAGCCAAGATATAAAGCAAGTCATTTGGAACCTGTCGAGTGTGCACTAAAGCTACTTTATCATGAGATGTATTAAGAAGGCTCCACCCCACAGGAGTCCAGTGAAGGCTGGGACCACAGAGGCACAAAGTCCAGCATTTGGCCACTGGTGGGCCTCCTTTCTGCCTCAGAGAACTGGGGCAGAGACGTGATTAAGAAAAATGTTCTTAGAAGAGGAAATATCCTTTGTCCTGTGTAGAGAGACCAGGGCCCTACCATTAGGCATACCTTAAAAAGCAACCCAGAGAACAGCTGTCCTATTAAAAACAAAAGATAAGAACAGCGCCTGGTACGTTGTGAGTCATTTCTATGAAACTGCATATAAAGAATGATCATTAGTTTACACACTGTGCAGGCTCACTCTCTGAAAATAAAATGGAACTGGCTTAGTGATCTCTGCTTTCGTCAGAACATCGGGACCCATTGGTCATTTGCAAAATGCATCGTCCTAGTGCAAGTTCACACGAGCACTTCCAGCTGTGTGTTCAAAGGCCTTTACTGTCAGCAGTGATCATTAGACCACGCCAACAAGAGATGCTGACCTATTCACTTGCAGGGCCTTAATGCTGTTTTGCCCCAACAAAGAGTCTCTACGTCCTAAAAGTCAAGGCACTTCATCAATTTATTGGCACACATGACAGGATTTCTTTGGCCCTGAGCCCAACGCAGTTTGTACTTCATGAAATATATTGTACATTTTACATAGTTTAATTTAAAAAAAAATACATTTTAAGCTGGTTGATCTTTGACTGCCTTATTTATTATAACCTTTCAGCACATTCCAAGGTTTTAGTTACTCAGGAAGGAGTTAATTAAAATGATTTTATTTTGGTCTGATGGATGTTTTTTAAAAGGAAAATTATTATTATGAACCTTCAGCCTACTCTTCTGGAGTGCCGTAAAAGTGCTTGTAAATCCTTTTTTTTTTTCTTTTTAAGAAGAAGAAGGAAGAAAAAAATGGTGTTTGACATTGATGGAAATTCAAAAATATATATGGAACTGAAACATTAGCTTAGCTAAAATAAAAGCAATCTGTGTTTGAGATGAAGTGTTCCTTAACTTATTCATCATCCATATAAATAAATGAATATAAATAAGTTGCAATTTTTTCCCCATTCTGTTCCTAGCTGGCAATAAAAGTGCCTGCAGTTTTTCCCAGCGCCCTCTGCCTTTTTAATCGGCCAAACTTCTTCCTTCAAGCTGTGATTTTTAGAAAGATGGGTTTTCTTTTAATCTATAAACTCTATTCGTGTTGTCATTGGGTGACACCAAAAAGCTGGCTGAGAAGATGAGCGAGGCATTCATTCCTCTAGTTGTGTGGACACGATACTGAGCACCTGACCTTGCCTCCACGTGCCCTGCTTGGTCTGCCGTCCGGGGTTTGGTCAGAACCCTTCGCACCACGCCTCTTAGCATGTACTCTGATCTCTTTCTCAGACACACAGAGCCTCAAAAAGCTGGGTGATTCTCCCCTCCCGAGCGAGCAGTTTTGATCCAGAAACACTCCCTGAGAAATTTCACAGCCACCTCAAAAGGGACTTGCAGAGAGCCAGGGAGTCCCCTGCTTTCTAGCAATTGGGCACCCCGTGCCAACTCCTGTGGCTATTTTGTAAAAGGAAAGAACCAGAGTTTTGGTACTAAGGGAAAGAAAAATCTGTTTTGGCGATAACGTGCTTTACTTTAAGCAAGAGCCTGAGTTTTAAACAACAAGTGACCAATGGTTACCTTTTTTGTTTTTTTATCATTTAATTTGTTCTGTAACTTGGCCACATGATGTTTGACTCCGAGTGACCTTTAAAGACAGAAGTATTGAACAAAACCCGGACTACGCCCCATCTGGAGTGGCGTGTTTGGTCCGAAGTTCTTCAGAAATGTGCTCTCACCTACAAGTTCATCCAGCAAACTATTTGGCTTTAAATGAAACGTGTAGATAATGGTAGTATTTCTCAGAAGGTGGACTGATGATCCATAAGCATTCAGAACAATTGTTCTATGGGTCGAAATTATGAAATTCCCTTCAAGTAAAAGTAAAGAGGGTTTATTTTACTAAATTTCCTTCATGTCTGGTGATGAAGAAAACATTTTTTTTTTAAGTATTTTAAATATCCTAGGAAAGACAAGACTGCTTTAGGCTAAAACCAATATTAAGAGTCTGTTAAAAAAAAAAAACAAACCATAGAACATCTTTCACAGCTCAGAAAACTCACTGTGATATAGAGCTCAGAGTGTTTGCGCCATAGATGGACTGGCCTAAACAACGGAAATTTATTTTCTCACACTTCTGGAGGCTAGAGGTTTGAGGTCACAATGTCAGCAGCATCGGTTTCTTCTGAGGCCCGTGTCTTTCTTGTACCTGGGCATCTTCTCCCTCTGTCTTCACATGGTCTCGCCTCTGTGCACGCTCATTTATGTCCAAATTCTTTTTTTTTTTTAATTTTTTAAAATCTTTGTTTATTTTCGAGAGAGAGAGAAACAGAGCATGAGTGGGGGAGGGACAGAGAGAGAGGGAGACACAGAAACCGAAGCAGGCTCCAGGCTCTGAGCTGTCAGCACAGAGCCCGACGCGGGGCTCAAACTCATGAACCGCGAGATTGTGACCGGAGCTGAAGTGGAACACTTAACCCACTGAGCCACCCAGGTGCCCCCAAATTCTTCCTTTAATAAGGACACCACTCGTATTGGATTAGGGCCCATGCTGATGGCCTCATGTTAACTTGATTACCCCTGTAGAGACCCTGTCTCCAAATACAGCCACATTCTGAGGTACTGGTTGTTAGGACTTGAGCATATGAATTTTGTGGGGGACACAGTTCTTCTTACAGCACCCAGACTACAGCAGAGAAGTTGGAGCAGAGGAACTGGTCTCCAACTAGGAGAGAAGCAAGCCTAAACTCACAGAACCCTCGAACTGCCATGGGGCTGGGCGGCCATCTGGCCCTTGTCCTTTTTTTATACGTAAGGAATTGAAAGTCCAGAAACGGGTTCCTGGGTGGCTCAGTCGGTTAAGTGTCCGACTTCGGCTCAGGTCACAATCTCTCAGTTCGTGGGTTCAAGCCCCACATCGGGCTCTGTGCTGACAGCTCGGAGTCTGGATCCTGCTTCGGATTCTGTGTCTCCCTCTCTCTCTGCCCCTCCCCAGCTCATTCTCTCTCTCTCTGTCTCTCTCTCTCTCTTAGAAAACAAATCAACATTAAAACAAATTTAGAACAAGGCAAAAAAAAAAAAAAAAAAAAAACACCACAAAAATAAAAGATTCAAATACACCACGTGCTAAGTTTTGCCATTGAGGGTTCGATGAATTTGTGAATACTGAACAAATCAAAACGACGATACCGCCAAAGTCCCTCTACCGACCTAAATCCGGAATGGAAACGATAAGGCACATTCAACCACCCCCAGTGCCACCCCCCACACTGAAGCCATCTCTCCCTGCAGCTCGCCCGGCTGTGGGGCCTGTGGGACCCCCTTCCACAGAGGGAGACCCTAACTAAGCACTAAGTCCTCCGGGACAGATGTCAAAATAAACCTGTTCCCTCTGAGATTTTTCTCTCTACTCAAAGGACAAAGAGGGCTTCTTATTTCTGGATTTGAGCTCCATTTTGCCCACCGCAGATTAGAGAGTTCTATTTTTCCTAAAGGTAAAATGAAGATTCATGTTCTGCTTCCTCTAAGGAGCTTCAGAAGGACCTGCCTCAAAAACTAAAGTCAAATACAGCTCATAAAACTAGTTGAAGTCGAGTGCAGACATGCCTCCGGAAAACCCAAGCTAGAGAGTAACCAGGCCCTGAGAGCTCCCAGGCCTCTTCCCTCGCCGGCTGCTTCACTCACTGGAGAATTCCTTTCTGCGTAGGGCAGGCTTGGCTCACGGCGCCCGGCACCGCCGATTCCCAAGGAACACCCTGGCCCACAGATGTTCATGGGTCACAGAATTGTGAACTGACCACTGGTGCACTTTGGATTTCAACGTGTAAACATGGGGATTCCCTTTAAAAAAAAAAAAAAAAAAAAAGGAAGAGAAAAAAAAGGAGGGGAAAGAAAAATCACCGTGCAGAGGAAAAATGTGAGCTAAGTTTTTCCTCTGGAATCTTGGCGTGTGAGTTTAGCTATCTTCAATCTGGCTTTCTCCAGACACTGTATGCTTTGAGCAGGCATGGAGCAATCTGCCTTACGCTGTGCTGCCAGAACATTCAGACTTGACCTGTAACACGCCTCCTATTCCAGTCGTGAGCAGAGACAGCCGGGAGGTCGGCCACGCAGGACGCAGCATGCCGACTGTGTGGTGCAGCTAGAGAAGCGCCTAGAACCAGGAAACAGGGCTGTTGACTGACTCGGGCAAGAGCTGTAGACCAGCAAAGTCCCTGAAATCACGTCCCAGCTGCTCGACTTCATCAGGCGCTTGACTAAATCACTTGACCTCTCCATGCCTGAAGTCCACCCAGCTGGAAAATAGGAGGTCCACTGAAGCCCAAGAGTTGCTTCTGGAATGGACTTTGTCCCACCCTCCACCCCCATATGCTAAGAGACTAAGAGCCACAATCCATTGGGGGCTGATGAATCTTTGTTTTCTCCACGAAACGCTGCGTCCTCAACAAGAGAACCTACAATTACACATCATTGTAGGTCCGTTGATGCCCCCGAAACCCTCATGACTGAACGTGTTGTCACCCAATGTCCCAATGAGTCCATGGACAGCAGCACTTCTGAAGTGTGAATGGAGCCAATAGGAACAGACACATTCTAGTGGACATGAGTCAGTATTCTTATCATGTGCCATCATCCAAGACAAGCCACTGTATGGACTTCCAATTTTCTCTAACACTCCCTTTGAGAAGAGTTTGTCGAGCTGTGACTTACCGGAACCCTCTCAAACTCACCGCTTCCGCTAAATACAGGCATCTTCTAACTTCCTCAAAGTACCCTGTGTCTCTATGATCCTGTTTGTAATAAAGGTCCTAAAACGTCCACATCAATTAGTACAGGTAGTGCACAAGAAAAGTTGTATTAAAAGTGGAAAACCCCATAGGATGGGGCACTGTGCTTTTTGCAGTCTTTCGCGTTCTCACGATGGCATCAGTGCTATGACGTTTTGGGAGAAGTCTGGTAATGATTGCGTGGGCTGGCGATCCATTCGCCACGGTCGGTCCTTCTGACCCCATTATAGGACTGCCACTCTCGGACTCTGAATCTGTTGTGTCACTAATGTTTCGCTGATCACAAACTTCTTTATAGCCACCCTATTGGCTGCTTGTATCAAATACCATTTCCTTTCCTCCTCTGGCTTACTTTCCTAATCGTTCTCCATCTTCAACTGAAAGTTAATGAAATTCTCATCCAGGGCATATTCGTTCCCAAAATATAATTCACAAACCAGGTGTGTGGGATAGGCATGAAAAAAAAAATCATGGTGTTAGACAATTTGGGAAATGCGTTAGCTCTAAGTGTCACACAGTGGGGTTTTAAGAGCACACTAAGGGTTTAGAAGAATACTGAAGTTTTAAAAAGTCAGTTTCTCTTTGTTTAACCCCACATGTCTCAAAACGACTTATCATGAAAGCCTAATTAAGACCCGTTAGGGGCACCTGGGTGGCTCAGTCGGCTGACCGTCCGACTTTGGCTCAGGTCATGATCTCGCGGTCCGTGAGTTCGAGCCCCACGTCGGGCTCTGTGGTGACAGCTCAGAGCCTGGAGCCTGCTTCAGATTCTGTGTCTCCCTCTCTCTCTGCCCTTCCCCCCGATCGTGCTCTGTCTCTCAAAAATAAATAAACATTGAAAAAAAATTTTTTTTAATTTTTTTTAACGTTTATTTATTTTTGAGACAGAGAGAGACAGAGCATGAACGGGGGAGGGTCAGAGAGAGGGAGACACAGAATGTGAAACAGGCTCCAGGCTCTGAGCTGTCAGCACAGAGCCCGACGTGGGGCTCGAACTCACGGACCGCGAGATCATGACCTGAGCCGAAGTCGGCCGCTTAACCGACTGAGCCACCCAGGCGCCCCTAAAAAAAATTTTTTTTTAAGTAAGACCCATTAATAACTGTGGAACTGGTGTTCTTGGGAGATTACACTTTAAGGAACATTGCTTTAATATGTCATTTTTTTCCCCATTGGAAGAGTTACTTTCCTTCCACTATAGTTCGATCTTTGGTCTTCCCAGTGGTC